CTGTGTTTCCTGCCGGGACTGGGATGTCCATCGCAGTAACTTAGGTTTGTGAGAGCCTTTGTTGTTAAACTCATACATGGGCATCCAAAGGTAAATGGATAGCGGAATTGATTAGACTTGAGGTTTAATGGAGTTGCCTTTGCAGTTCGTCTGATCTGCTCCTTATTCTCGAGATAAAAAGGAAAATTAGCCGTTCCGCCCACCGGTCTTCCTCTTCTTACTCGGCCAGGAAACTTTTCTATAACCAGAGGGAGGTAGAGAGGAACGATTCTTCAACTTACACTCGCTTTCATCATCTCATCTGATCCTCTCATTGACCGTCTCTTTTTTTCTCAATTTACATACACATTCGCTTGCATCACAACACACACAGACGAAAGAAGATGAAGTCATCAGACAGACTCGCGCTGCTCTTAGCAGCAGCAGCAGCAGGTCCGGCGGCAGCCTTTACAAACACCAAAGTCGACTTTTTCATGCGCAAGAACATCGATCCCATCGTCATCCCGGGCCAGTACAAGAGCCACATGCACAGCTTCTTTGGCAGCGACGCGGTGAGGGTGAACATGAGCTCGACGGCCGAGTTGCAAAAGGGGTGTTCTACGGCGCAGAACCCGAATGATTTTTCTGTATATTGTATGTTTATTCTTCTTCCCCCTCCCGCCACTCGTCCTCTAGCGAGCAATCTCAACTAACACCCCTCCGTTAGGGATCCCCACGCTCTACCGCGTCCAAGGCGAAACCCGAACGCCCATCGAACCGGTCTCGTTCGTAGCCTACTACAACTTTGACAAGGACCCGGCCGAGGTGCCCATCCCGCCCAACTTCTCCGTCGTGGCGGGCAACTCCAAGGCCTCGACGGAAGCGGACCTGATCCCCGGTTCCGACGTGACGTGGCTCTGCCAGAACCAAGCCTTCGACGCAGGCGGGAAAGAACATTCCCAGTTCCCGCAGAACACGTGCTCGACTTCTTTACAGGCGGTCCTGTGGTTCCCGGACTGCGTTGACGAAACCACCCTCAAATCTGCCTACTCTGATAGGAAGACGGGGGCGTGCGCGGGTGGGATGAAGAGGATGCCGCAGCTGCGATTCAGTATACGCTACGATACCAAGAAGGCGATCCCCGAAGGCTGGAAGGGCGGGGACCCGCCGATCGAGCTCGCGTGCGGCGGGAGCCGGTGTTTCCACGGGGACTTTGTGAATGGATGGCTCGAGGAGGCGGCCAGGACCATGGTTACCGGGTTGAAGAGTAAGAGGGAGTTTGAGGCGGTGGATGGGCCGAATGGGAAGGCTAGGGCGGGGAGTGTTTGTAAGAGGAAGGCGACGGACGCGGATCCGGGGAATGGGACCGGGGATTGGGCGGAGAGTGTGAAGATGATGGAGGCTGGGAAGAGGAGGAGGAGGAGGACTGGGCCGGTGAGGAGAATGGGGTTGTGAAGGGTGTAACTGAATGCCAGGATACGATGTGTTTGTTCTGAAGATGAATGGATGGCCGGGTTCCTGGTGATGGATATGTCGCAACTTTGGAATGGGATGCGATGCTACTTTCATTCATCGGAGTAGCAAGATGAGTACTGGAAGAGTTCTCACTATTAAAATACCTGACCAAACATCAATATCAATTTCGAGATGTCTATCTCATGAGAAATCTCTCCCCAAAGTTGATGGATGAATAAACAGAAACCGGACTTCATTGCCGGCTTCCACATGTAGCCTTCTACCCATTGCACTGAACGTTCTACAACGTCCATTCGTCTCTACAGTGTCTCTTGAGTTGAGGAAAGAAATAGAATTGATGTTTAGAGGAGACGAACGTCGATTGAGTAATGGTGCATTTTTAAGCAATCCTGCGTTGGCAGTTTATCGCATTGTATTTCTGTAGTAGAATGCAATAGCCATGCTGGTGTCGGGGATGAGCATGATATGTACTTGATAGTGTCACATGGCTATGATCTACTTGATCAAACCATTGTCCTACCAGACCGCGGTGTGTTTCCCATGGCCAGCATGATGTCTTCCAGACTCGAACAACGCAATGTGCCCAGGAGTATAGTCGGAGGATGAGAAGAAGCTTCGAGGACTACCATACAAAAGACAACAGATACCGGAATAAGGTCATCTCCCATGTTACGGCAGACTACGGCTCAAAAAGACAATGCAAGGTAGGCACGCTTGATATCAAGGTCTGGACAGCTTAACTCAGACCCGAGATAGCCCTCGCTCAGTAGGTATTGACAACCAGCCTCAACTCAATGCCCATGGCGCCGCTCGTCACAAGTCGCAGCAAACAAACCAAAGCAGCCTGACCTCCCCTACGTCTACCGGTATCCCACAGCGTGAACACCGATGAAGCGCCACACCAGAGACGGCTAGACAGCCATCGATCGGTGATTTGTATCAACTACGGGCCGAGCACATACATAGGTATGTAGTAGGTATCCGTAGAAAACGTCAAGCCACTTGGGATGACAAAATGGGCAGGGAACTAATTAGGTAGGTAGTCTAACGATGCCGATGGGGTAATGCTCCTAAGGACTTGGAAGAAAAGTATTCGAAAAAGGAATCAATGTCGTCCGCGTCGGGGCCCTCGGGAGTCGGGAGCGCCCAGTTTAGCTCCACGCGGACGGGTATCCGGCCGGAAAAAGAGACCTCGAGGCTTGTCGCTTGGCCCTGCCATCGCTGGGGCACGCCTCGATCGAGCAAAAGGCCGTAGTTGCTCCTTTCACTCTGGCGTAGTGGGTGGTGGGTGAGCGCTGAGCCCTGCGTCATAACTGGAGCCTCTCCCCTCCACCCCAAGGCTAAGCCGGGGGCAGCCACCGAAAGATGGAAGGCCAAGACGGGTCTTGAGTTGAAGGAGGGTTGACGAGTGGGTGGGTGGTTACGTTTGCTGGCATGGCTGAGAAGTCTTGGAGATTCAGGAGGGAATGGGGTCATTAATGGTCGTTAATTACCTTGGGTGAGGACGATTCATTATCCTTTGCTTTCTCGTTGCCGGAGGCCTCGAATGCTTGGGCTTGGCTTGCAGGCTCCGGGTCTTGGAACCGATGCTGTGCAGGCGGATCGAAGCCGAAATTTGACTTGGCCTTTTTTTTTCTCTTTTTTTTTTTTTTTTTGCTTCTCGTTGCCTTGGATAGTAGCGAACTGCAAGAAAGGGGTCATGGTGTACTGCGTAGACTCTAGAGACTGGAAGCAAATCGAATAGGAAGAGGCTGTGAAAGAGACTCGAGAGTCATTCTGACGAAGATGGGCGTGAGCTGACGAGTGGCATTGGAAAAACCGGCCGATCGTTGGACGTCCTGCTGGACTCATCCGTCTACGCACATGTTCCTTTTGAGTGAGCCGGAACACCAATGTCAGCTTGCCTGTCTCACCCTATTGTTGTCTATTGGCCTGGGTATGATTCGAGCGAGTGATTTCGGCTGAATTGGATTGGGCCCGGCGGAAGCGACCTTAGAAAGAGTGTCGAGAAACTTGGTCGTGGCCGCCCCGTCTAAGTGGGATTGACGATGGCACGACGGTAGCCCGTAGGAGCTGAAGCCTGAAGCTTGGATCGCCGGGACGTCCAGACGGCCCGTGCCCCACCAGGCTTTCGCTCACTGTGTTCTAGCGCCATGCAATTTTTAGGTCACTACCTATGGTACCTTACCTATGTAGAGTAGGTCTTTGCCGTATAGGGCTCAGAACACAGGAGGCTAGGGAATAGGAAAACTTACATGTATACCGGGTCCAATATGCTCATTATTCAGGCTCTCTATTCAGATTGTGCATGTAAAGCAAACCAGGAGCAGTGAGTGTGACACTGAAGACCAAGGTGAAGAGAGTTCCTCATCACAGAAAGTCTGAAGTCTCTACTACTTAGGCGAGGTACTTGAGTACTTGGCGACTGACATGATTACCTCAGCATCGGAGGCGCCGCCAATCTTGACTTGTTGAGCTTGTTCTGTATCCGTACATGGCAGGCTATCCCAAAACCAACGATTATCTATCTCTGCTACTGCCAACTCTCGAAGCTGACCTTGAGTCTGGGGAAGATGCTACCACCAGTGTGTATGATTGGGAGCTCAGAAGCTAACAAACAAGAGCCGGGCAAAGATGGAGGGTGTTTTGATGACGAGGCTTGCCCGTGCCAAGATGGGAACGGTTGGCAGTTCATCGTTTGTTAGTCCCTCTGCAACCTTGAGCCTAAGGTACACACTACTGTTGTAAGGTTGAGGTGACGTTCAGATGGCACGAGCCGCTTGTCTTGGCCCGCGCTGGCACTTGGCCGGAGAAAGATCGACCAAGACTCCAAGATTCTTGGGCGGCACATTGGAAGGCTTCTCTATGCAGTACCTACGCATCATCAGGTCTTGGCGCAGAGAGCCTCTCGATATGTTGCACTTGGAGGGAATGAAGATGGACTAAGGTCGGCCCTTTTTTTTTTCTTTTTTTTTTTCTCACACTCTCGCTCACAAGCCTACAGCCCGGCACCCCATGCCCGAGTTGGGTCGTACGGATAGGGCAGAAAAGATGGAACGACGGAAGCGCGGCAGCAAAGAAAGAAGGGAAACCCGTCTGTAGGGTTCTGGGCAGCCATGTCGTACGGACCACGGTGCGGTGCTGCAGGTGTTGTTGCAGCCGACGAGGGGCACAAGCCGACAGACTGGATTCGTGGAGGTGGAGGGGAAGAGGGGGCCGCGCCATCGACGAACTACACCACATCGAGAGACGGTATGGGGTTCGTATGATATACCGGAGGCGGCGGGACTTTTGAAGAGGGGGTTTCTGTGAAGCGAGAAGGATAAATTGAACGGCCAAGACAGGCCGACAACGAGTTATCTAGGCCCGGCCCAGGGGATAGAACTTGTAATGACAAGTATGGAAAATTTCATGGCAGTGAAGTAACACAGTCGTGACAGTGAGTGATTTAAAAGATATGCACACGTTGTGAAACTTGAAGGTCGGGCTACATTGGCTGGAAGCAAGGGAGAATCAAGTGACAGCCGTTGGGATGGAGCGGCATTTCAGGGGGACGGGGAAAGGTCTGGAGTAAGAGTCCTCTGCCTGGCTGGGCGAGCTGGAATTCGACTTGCTTGGGAAGATGCCGGGTGAAGCGTGTATGTATCTGTAGAGTGAGGAGATTCTGGGGATGGGAGGGGCATCGTCTGGGGCCATGGACATGGACCAGGACTTGGGCCTGTCTCAGTCCCGGCTGAAGATTCGTGGCCTGCTGCGTCTGGGTAGAGACTCGGAACGGATTGAAGCGGGAAATCGGACATGATGATGAATTGATAACTATCCAAGAGGGGCTACCCAGGCTGTTGGGCAATGCTTGGGGTAGCTATGGACCGGCTAACTCGACTTGGGAGGTCTGTCGTGATGCGCGATATGTTGACGAGACGAGAGTGTCGCTAATTCGGCGACAAGCGACCGAGAGGATAGGCACGCGACCGACGGGGCGGAAGAGGAGAGCAAGCCAGCAGGGGATGACATTGACAGGGAAGCGAACGAACGTGAGGGAAAAGGACAAGCGACAGACGGGATTCGGGATGGCATAATGACCACTGTGGATGGGGCATTGGGGCGAGATGGGGTTAGAACAGGGAGCTGCATCTAACTGGGGAGAGAGTCTGATAGGATGGACAAATAAGGTGCGCAGTGATGGTCAGGCACGGGTTCTTGTGCGAGTCCGAGATACTGTGTCTGACTGCAGCTGATGATGAAGGGGAGTGATGGGGATAGGCCTTGAGTGATGAGAAAATTATGGTCCATATGGTGAAAGCAACGGATGAAGAGGCGGTGGAAATGCATTGCGACGGAGTTGAGAAACAACGACAAGGTTACCTTAGGCCCTGAGCACATGTAAAATACTCCAAAAGCAAAGTTTGAATGTGCGCTGTTTCTCACTCGTAGGCGTAGGCGTAGGCGAAGACGAAGGCTCGCGCTCGCACTCGCCCTGCATTTTCGTGCCTGTCTTGCCTGTCTGTGTCTGTCCACAGCGTGGGGGCCAAGCATTCTGGCGTTCCGGCTCATTCCTACCTGCCTTACCTTATCTTGCCGTCTATGGTCTTGGGTGCTACTTGCTCTTGGACTTGCGTGCCTGCTCTATCTCATGCTTAGATTATGAGTGAATTATTCGTGTCTCAACTCTAAGGAAACCGAGGTGGTTGCAGCTGCCATTGGAATTGAGGAGCGAGTAGGAAGGAGGAGCGTCTAAAAACACACTTCGTCTTACCTCAAGTGCCTCAGGTACAGGATACTTCTGTTACTTTTGTAGACGGGAGGATGTCGTTCCTTGGGTGTTTCCATTTCGGTACGGCGGTACCTCATCTTCTTGCTTACAAAAGTACTTTAACAACTGGCTTTGCGGGAGATGAACCCAGCCACAAAGTACACGAGCTGACACCGATGTCAGACTAGGCGGGTACGTACTGCAGAAATTGACCACCCTCGAATTGTACAACTCTGGCAGGCCGCAGATTGGGAATGCCACACTCACATGCTCGCTCACGCATTGTTACGAGCTGTACGGGATACTGGGCCCTCAATGTTAGAGGACTCGAGGTGCATGTCTTCCTTGGGGACGAACCTGGGTAGTACGAAGCAGAGACAGCAGATAGAACTCGCTTTCGCCTACCAGACCTCACCTTGTGTACGCATGACGTGAAGACGAGAAGCCACCTTCTCCAACCGGTGCGGTCGGTGAGTGCTTGGGTGGGCGAAATACTATACATTACCTACTTTACCAGACGTTTGTAGTATTCAACAACCTTGCCTTGGGAAGTAGTGAGAGGAAAAGATGCAAGACAAAAACATGGCCCGGACCTCCCCCTCTTGGTGTCGTCTGTTCTCGTTCCCGAACTCTACTTGGGTTCTTCTATGATCTAGGTACTCCGTACCCATCTTCCTCACCTTTTTAACCTTTGGGCTTCTATGAGCGTGCCAGCAGTGCCTGGACGAAGGCGTGCTCAACGCCTAGGTAGCTGCGAGCGACCAAGGTACCAAGTGATACATATCTCCATAGGTACTAACTTACCTCCACTACCTTGTGTACATTGTAAGGTGAGGTGACCTACAGCGTCTTCTCTCTTCGAGTTCTTCCCAGAGATTGCTGTTTCTGGCTGTTTTCAACCCGAGTTTCTACCCATCTTTGGACGCCGCTTCAGCTTCAGCTCCAGCTCTCCAGCTCCATCCGTCTCCAGCTCTGTTCCCTGCTCAGGATCCCGTCTCCCACCCCAAACCACGCCAAACGCCTCAAGTGAACCCACCCAACCGCACCCACATCACCCCAAACAGTGGCCACTTTGCCCGCTAGGGGACTGCACCACGAGCCGAAGCACCCGCGGACCTTCCCAGCCAACGGCCATCGCTGCCCACCAAAAGTCGTCGTATCTGGGACGAAATACGCTGGAACATACGACGAGACGAGACGGTACTTCGCTCCACCACCAAAATCTCACCGAATCTCAAAGTACCCGCCCGGCCTGAATACCCTCGCTATACGTTTTGTCTGGTGTCTCTACACGGCCACATCGGACGTAAAAACAACAAGAAAGAAAAAGGTACCTCGAATACTGCGTCCTTTGCAATTCAACCAGAAGTACATGTCCATATTCTTTTTTCCCCAAAGGTACGTAAGATGGGCAACCGCTCCTCTCTCTCTTTCCCCTGGCCAGGCTCCAGAGTTGCTCTCGCTCCCTCTCCGTCCTCGACCTCCGCCTGCATTGAGCCGTGGACTTCTGCGACGCCTTTGCTTCTGCCTCTTTCTCGTTCTCTCTTCCCGTCTCTCTCGCCCTCTCCTCTACCTTTTTCCTATTTTCCCTCGAGACTCTGCTCGCAGGAAACAAAAAAAAAAGCGTCTAAATCATTCTAATACCCTACCCTTTTGTCGGTTCCTCCTGTCGGGCCCTTCTCCCTAGCTTACTCCTTCGTTCCAGTTGCACATGGCGGTGGCGCCAGGTTGGATGTGCATCGAAGCCACATAATTAAATCTGTACATTTGTTCACTCAACTTTCCATTCTCGACCCCGGGCCTCTTATTATTCAGACATCAGCCCTCAAGGGGCCCCAAGCTCCCACCTCATCTCTCTTCTCCCTTCTTCTTCTCTTCGTTGCTCTCTGCTTCCAGCCCTTCCCCTTTTTCTCACCTACTGCTACTTCTAGACATTCATTTCCTCCGTGAGATCCATTATCGACCAATACTGACATTGGCTTCATCTCAAGGTCATTGACGGTTCCCACCCTGCGAGGTCAAAACCTGAACCTGAATTGGCCTTCAGCTGTACGTCGAGGCAACCAAAGGCCCCTGCTCGACACGCTACCAAAAGGCCTCCCCTAACCACATCCGACAGCAATTGTTACGTGTGGCTCGCCAGTCATCGCCAATTCGTCCAGAGCTATCTTGAGTAGACGCCACCTTTCGCTGTCCGGCGTCGTTGAGCAGTCCAGTTGGCAGGGAAGCACATATCGCAACGAACAGAACGCAGCGTCGCACTCGTTGAGAAGCGCGGATCAGCATCCAGCAAGCTACACTACTACCGAAACCCTGTCACCACTTGCAGCTGCGCTACCTCATCTCCTGAGCGCGCGCGCCTCTGCCTGCTTGCCGCAAGCCACTGCCCACCTACAACCAGCACCACCGCTCCACTCACTACCTACGCCTTTGGGCCCTGCCAACAACAATTCGAGCGCGGCAATAAGCAACAGCGACAGCAAGCCGAGGTGTGTGAGAGGTCGAAAAAGAAGGACTGCCTTGCTGTGTACGCCCACCCCAGAAACAAGTCGGACATTTCGCCTGTCGGGTCATGACAATTGGATAGTCGCTGGAGCCAAATACGTAAGGTACCGCAAGTACCTGACGCGACCTAAGGCTTCCCAGCGCTCCGCATTGCGTCTCCTACGTCACCCCGCCCCCCCAATCTGGCCGCTCTGCCCGTGAGTGTGTCTGCTCTTGGCTTGTCGCCCTCACACACACGTCGTGTGCCCTGCGCCCTCCAAACCCTCTTCTTGGCTTGCCGCAACTCTTTTTAGGGGCCGCTCCCCGACCCGCCGTCGTCCACCATGGTCCGCATCATCCCTGGACGACTCAAGTCCAGCTCCTCCCTCCGCAACAGCCGCAGCAGCAGTCCTACGAGAAACAACAGCACCGGCAGCACCAACAGCAAGATGGAGCTGAGTCCAAAGGAGAATGGCTTGACCTTGAAGGTCGTCGTTATGAAGGTAAAAATAACTTTGGCATTGTAGCGCCGATGCGCGGATCCAAGCTGTGTAGCCAACACACAAGACACACGATTGCTGACGCTTGATGCAAATTAGGCTCGAAATCTTGCCGCAAAAGACAGACGCGGCACATCCGACCCAGTACGAATTCGAATCCAACCCACGCGCGCTTCCGTTATCCATTGTCTAACATGAACTCTTCTAGTACCTGGTTTTGACACTCGGTGACGCCAAGGTGACCACCCATGAAGTGTCCAAGACTCTCAATCCAGAATGGAACGTCATCGAAGAACTACCAGTCAATTCGACCCAGAGCCTCCTTCTCGATGTTATATGCTGGGATAAGGACCGCTTCGGCAAGGACTACCTTGGCGAGTTCGACCTTGCTTTGGAGGAGATCTTCGCCAACGAGCAAATCGAGCAAGCCCCGAAATGGTACCCTCTCAAGAGCAAGAGACCCGGCAAGAAGACCAGCGTGGTCTCTGGCGAGGTCATGCTCCAGTTCACCCTCTTCGACCAGTCCAACACAGCCGCTTCCCGCGAACAAGTATTCGAGAAGCTCAATGCCCTGCTCAACCAGTTGCCTGCGGGCTCCCGACAAATCACACCGACCATGACCCCCCTCATCCAGCCGGTCCAGAATATGAGGGTCAGCGGAACAAACCCGTCACCTCCCCTGTCGCGCAACCAAACCGACGCCTACCAAGAAGATGACGATGACGATGATCTGGATATCGAAGATGATACTCCCGAGGACGACGATCCCAGCAAACCCGAAGTCGCCGAGAAACGCAAGCGACGCCTGAGGATCAAGGGCCTCAAGAAGAAGAGAAGAGACCAAACATACGAGTTCAATAATAGTGGAAGCGACGTTGTGGGAGTCATCTATCTTGAAGTCTTGAACATTACGGATCTACCCCCTGAGCCCAACTCGACCCGGACTACATTTGATATGGATCCTTTCGTCGTTGCGTCACTCGGCAAGAAGACGTATCGGACCAAGCGAGTGCGGCACAATCTCAACCCGGTCTTCAACGAGAAGATGATTTTCCAAGTACAGGGTCACGAGCAGACATACTCGTTCTCCTTTACCGTGATGGATCACGACAAGTACTCTGGAAATGATTTCATCGCCGACTGCTCATTACCCATCAGGGAGCTCATTGACAAGGCCCCCCAGGCAGATCCCGAAACTGGTCTGTACGACGTACCCGAACCCCATGAGTATGTCGCCCCTCAACAGCGCCGCTTCAAGAAGCTAGGAATGTCCCGTACATCATCTTCCCAAAGCTTGAGCAAGGTGCGACCTGGATTGTCGAAGAATGCAAGCAGTGCATCCACAACTACCCAGACCGGAACAACAACGCCTACGCCTCCCGCCCAGGGGTCGACTTTGAACCCTGAGTTCCTGTCTCCTGAGCAAGCCCTCGCAGGAGCCGGTGCGCAAACTGCCGAGCTTGAGGCAGACGATGCGGAATTTCACGACTTCAGCGTCGCCCTGAAGATGAAGGACGCCAAGAAGTGGGAGGCCAAGCACAACCCGGTCCTCTACATCCGCGCCAAATACGTCCCTTACCCGGCTTTGCGACAGCAATTCTGGAGATCGATGCTCAAGCAATACGACACCGATGAGAGCGGCCGCATCAGCAAGATTGAGCTGACTACGATGCTTGACACCCTCGGATCAACGTTGCGCGAGTCAACCATTGATAGCTTCTTCCAGCGTTTCCCCCACAGAGCCCAAGGCGATGACATATCGGACCTGACATTCGACGAAGCTGTGATATGCTTGGAGGATCAGTTGGAGGCTAAGAGCCGCCCACAACTCAGCGTCACAGACAGAATGAAGGGTATGCTGCCGGATGCTGACAAGGTCAAGAATCTGCTCTCTTCTCAAGGCACCAGCAACGTTCCCGGCGGTCTACCGGCAGAAGGGTCTAGCTCATCCGATGGAACTCTCGACGTTCCGGAGCTCAGCACTCCTGGCGAGGAAGGTGAAATGCTCGACCGGGACGACCTGGCTGAGGACCGTGCCGGCGAGGAGCATGTGGTCGAAATCAGAGAGTGCCCCATCTGCCACCAGCCGCGCTTGAACAAGCGCAAGGATACCGACATCATCACTCACATTGCAACCTGCGCAAGCCAGGATTGGAGACAAGTCAACAACCTCGTCATGGGCGGCTTCGTCACCGCTAGCCAGGCCCAGCGCAAGTGGTACTCCAAGGTCATCACAAAGATCTCATACGGCGGTTACAAGCTGGGAGCCAACTCCGCAAATATCCTTGTGCAAGACCGAATCACTGGCCAAATCAACGAGGAGAAGATGAGCGTCTACGTCAGACTAGGCATTCGCCTGTTGTACAAGGGACTGAAGTCGAGCAACATGGAGACCAAGCGAAGTGAGTTTCTGATGCAGGTAGTTCACGAGAAGCTCGACTGACAATGCTGTTTTAGTTCGCAAGATGCTCAAGAGCATGAGTGTCAAGCAGGGCAAGAAGTTTGATGATCCGGCTTCTAAGGCTGAGATCCCCAAATTTATCGAGTTCCACCGCCTCGACATGTCTGAGGTGCTCCTTCCAACAGAAGAGTTCAAGAACTTCAATGAGTTCTTCTACAGAGCTTTGAAACCCGAAGCTCGCCCATGCTCGGCCCCTGACCGTCCTGACGTTGTCGTGTCTCCCGCCGACTGTCGCAGCGTTGTCTTCAACAGTGTGAACCAGGCGACCCAGGTTTGGATCAAGGGCCGCGAATTCTCCATCAAGCGCTTGCTTGGTGATGCTTATCCCGAAGACGTGAAGCGGTTCGAGAATGGCGCTCTTGGTATCTTCCGTTTGGCGCCCCAGGATTACCATCGCTTCCACATCCCTGTGGATGGTGTTTTGGGCAAGCCCAAGACGATTGCGGGAGAATACTACACGGTGAACCCCATGGCCATCCGTTCCGCTCTCGATGTCTACGGCGAAAACGTCCGAGTTCTCTGCCCAATCGATAGCCCGACTCACGGCCGCGTCATGGTCATCTGTGTTGGTGCCATGATGGTTGGCAGTACTGTGATTACGCAGAAGGAGGGCGCGCAAGTGAATCGTGCCGATGAACTCGGCTACTTCAAATTTGGTGGCAGCACGATCGTATTGCTATTCGAGCCGGGCAAGATGAAGTTCGATGACGACCTGACTGACAACTCCAACGGGGCTCTCGAGACCCTAGTAAGTTATATCTCAAAGGCCCCCCTTATCGAAAGTAGCTGCTGACATTATTTGTAGGTTCGCGTAGGCATGTCTGTCGGACACGCCCCCGACCAGCCTCAGTGGGAACCCGACATGCGAAAGGACGCAAAGGACGTCACCGATGCCGAGAAGAAGGACGCCAAACGCCGTATTGGAGGCAGCCTCGGCAGCGAAGAGTCATCCAGTGGCGAAGATACTCCGAACGCCAGCGCCGGCATCACCACGCACGCTGCGTCGGCCATGTAGAGCCGCCGTCTTCGCGTTGCGTGTGAGCGGTTCGGGCGCCATATGCGTTTTGCCAGCGGTTCCGAATACGAGTACCTATCAGTGACTGGAAGATAGAGGAGCAAGAAGAGGTAGACAACAAAACGGTGTTGTGGAAGGACTGGGCAATTTCCTCGCCCTTCGCATGAGCCGCGTCGAGCTTGTCTCTTGTCGTTTCGCTTCTGCGACGTTGGTGGCTTTCAACAGACACACGACATGGCTTAATGCGACAGTAGTACAGCGATTGCAGCGATTACGGCACCGAGCATAAGGGCACGGGATGTTGGAGAGCACACACATGATTGGATCAGAGGCAACACTTTTTTACGAAATACAGAGTACAGAAAACGAGAGTAGGGGAGAGTCTAGGGTGCGGGGAGGGCCTTGCTTGGCGAGGTGGGGGATCAGCAATGTCGCTCGCTCGCTCTGAATGAATGCAGCAACATGTCAGTTTTCTGTAAAACGGGCCCCCTGGTTCATAATGAAGCCAAATGTGATGTGGTGACCAATGAATTGATGCGTTGAGGTCCAAAAGGGAAAGTTTCCTGCCTGCAGTGAGGCCCCAGATGAGTGCATGTCCCCACGATGTAGGGAAGGGTGCAACAGCGTTGATTGAGACTCTGGGAGGTTGGGCACCATGCTGGAGATGATGGACTACACGAATCGCGTAGGGAACGAGCAAAGCATGGAACCAAAATCATTTCATGACTTTCTTCTAGAAGGACCGGCTAGAGTCTAAGTGTTGTTCATGGCATTGATGAAGTTAGGATGGAGAATGTGGAGGGGGTTGGTTCCTATTATTAGGCATTGACGAGGTTGAGAGTTTGACTGGGGGTTTAATTGATTTTTATTTTTTTTTTGCTCGTCATTCGCGAATGGCCCTCATCCCTTTTTTTTCCCTTCCTGGTCAGGTCTTTTATTCAAGGATGATACTAGTGTGATCCATTAGGAGAAGTTTTTGGAGGTTCCATGTGATGTTGCCGTGTGCCGACATGGGGATGCCTGGTTGGCTGAGTTGGCCCCTTTTTCTTGGGAGTGTCAATGGGAAGGGAAGTTGGGAGTCGCGAATGTGTGTGTGTGTGTGTGTGTGTGTTAGGTCAAGTGGTGGAGTGGAGTGGAGTGGGGTAGAGTGAGTGAGTGAGTGATGAGACGGTGGTGATGATGGGTGATGAATGATGGGTGACGGCTGAACCGTTGCATGAGAGGGAATGAGGTCGGAACGGTAGAAGAAAGTGAGGATGTTTGGTGAAGCTGTGAGAATGACGTGAGGGGTGGGGCATCACCGAAGTGAGTGAGTGAGTGAGTGAGTGAGTGAGTCGGTGAGGAGGGGTGCGTGTGGTGCAGGTGGAGGAGGAACTGAGTCGGAGGGTGGGGGAGCAGCAGAGCAGCATCGTCGACGGTTTTATGGCAGTTTACTTTTCATTTGATGTGGAATCTTGTTTATTGCCTTGAGGGAGCTTCAACGCATTCGGATTAAGTAGACTTGCTAGCCTTTTTCTTTTTGCTTCTTTTTTTCCTGTCATCTTTTGGCATAAATCTGTAGGGTTTTGAGAGAGGGTGCAGTGCTCTGGAATAGTTCTTCTCTTTAATGATGGATGGGGAGGAAGAACTGCAGAATGGTCAAGTGACAGCGCAACTCCCACAATCTCGTGACCGCGGGTTTTCCCTACTTTTATTTACAATCTCTTTCCTGAGTGATGAATCTCGCAATATGTGTATGTGAGGAAATAGTTTAGTATAAAAGTGTGGTAAACAACGTCCTTGGGAGAAAGAAGTGGAAGACGCACCCAAATGGTGTTGATGTACGGTGAGACTTGGTTACTTGGGACATTGAACGATTACCAAAGACATTATGGATTAGCCATCCATCGGTACATGGTTGACGGCTGGCCCCCCGGTCCGGACAGAGCGACGGCAAGGTCACGGATGAACCGAGTCGGACGCGGGACCCGGTCTACGGAGCCCCTGACCCTCGGGAACGGCGACTGTGCACGGTGACGAAATTGAGAGGAGGGTAAGTGGGATGCTGGATGATTGTTAAAGCGAGAGAGGAAACCCCCCCCCCCCCTTCTTCCATTACTACGAAGGTCCTCCGACGAGATCACGGTGAACAGCTTGACGCGCACGAAGCGGTGCGGCGTAGTCACGTCAAGCAGAGACGAACATCATCATGCTCATCAGTGGAGGGGCCCCTCCCGAGTCCTCCCTGGTGTCTGATGTTCAGTCTCAATTCCAATGCAGGTCCGGTCCTCCACCAAGGTGACCAAGGTAGACTCCCGCCTCTCCGTCACTCAGTCTCTAGTCCTCTCTCGCCCAGTCATTCATTCTGGTGTTGGTCTCGCGTGAACTAGGGTGATGGAATTTCCCGTGAGCTTTTCCCAAGTTTTTCCACCCACCCGTTGCGTCATGGTGGGGCCGGGTCGACAGCGGTCTACTGTGTACTGACTCTACTCTTGAGCTACGATTGTTCCTGGTTTCGGAGTCCGGACTCTTGAAGGGTTGGTTGGAGATGCACTCAGTGTGTGGCTCATGTGGGGTAAGTTACCCCCCAAATCGCTCATAGCCTCATACGCAGGACTCCGTACTGATGGTACGCGATAATAATGTACGTAGGCAGTAAGGGGGGCTCCGCCCGACGATCACTGATTGATAACAGAGAAGTGCCGGTTCGGAAAGGGAGAGGGGGGTTCGAGAAGAGTCGGTGTCGGAAGTCGGATGTGGACCTACACGTGTATGAACGGAGTATGGTCCATGGAAGGGGCTGAAGTTGGTTAGGAGGAAACTTGGCACGTGAAGAGGGTCATTCGGTTGTAGACGGGGCATTTTAGACAATTTGTGATGACATTGGGCTGACTTTGTGAGTACAATGTTTCAATCACATTTGCCAAGAATAGCCATGATGGCACAGAAAGAAGTTGATGTGAACAATTTATTTGGGGGTATCTATTCCATACACGGGAGCCAGTGTTGGAGGCTCTGCTAAAGAAGAACAAGAAAAAAAAGATACAAAATGCAAGGCAAGCAGACGCAGGTAGAGAGTCGGAGGGGTGGAGGGGGCAAAGCAAAAGATGGAGACGAATGTCGTAGCTTTGCATGTCTCTCGAACGATGTTCTTCCCCCTTCCCCTTCACATCCCACCTTCCTCCGCGTGCCCCGCCGGCGATACAATCATGGAGGGTGGCTCTTCACTCCCTTCCCCTGCCTGCTGATGGTACGAGCAGCAACTTGCAAAGAGGAATTGGTACGAAGCCGAGAGTACAAAAGAGACAAGAAAAGTGGGCTTGATGTGATGCCCGACCCTGATGGCGTGACGGACGAAACCTTTTCGGATTTACGTCCCTTTCCTCCCAACCCCACCCAAAAACTGCCGGAATTTGACGTGAATGTTTGATTGTGTTGTGTGCGCCGTAAACTCCCCGATGCTGTAGATCCGGAAAACTCTCAATCGAACGAAGATAGAATTGAGCGTTTGGCTGGTGGCTCTGTGTAAAAGTCCCGCTGTTGATAAGGCACCCGAACGCGAAAGCGACCGAGTCAGCGGCGCCGGTTGGAGGTAACGTCGGCACGGTGGGGTGGACTTGAGCTCGCATGCTGCAAGTCCAGCTTCGAAAGATTGATGTTGTTGTTTTTGAATTCCAATGTCCTTGACGCCTTTCCGGTTTCCATGACTATCGTAAATGCGTACATGCAGGTAGCCCAGTATCCCAAGTTGAGATGATGTGTTACTTGGTCCAACTAGATAAGAGTGGTTGTGGAGAGCTCTATAAACACCCCAAGCTGAAGCTCAAAGCTTCATGCTCAGGGCCCAAGAGCCGACCGAGATGCGTACAGTCGCCATCTATTTGGGTCCGCGCCACGAGGAGGCAGACGGTGATCGAGACATGGGAACGGTGGTCTCGCTGCGGTCGCTGTCCATGGAGCGCTTCTCAGGAGAAGGGCTGCGAGGGAAGTAGGAGGTCATGCTGGGGGCCTGGACGCCGGGGGAGGGCAGATCGGAAGGCGAACGGCGGGTTTCGCGCCATGAGGCGTAGATAGACTTGCACAGGTGTGCGGACATGGTGTATGTGGGCGACATTTTGGAGTTGGTGTGTGTGGTTGTCGTGTAACAAGACTTGTTTGTAGGTTGTAGGTTGTGAAGAGACGGAGAAGCTCTCAGGTAGTTGTAGAGAGGTGGTCGCGTGCTTTGTATAAGAGGTATAGTGAGGCTGAGAGCAAGTTGGATGTGGAGTTATCGACACGCGGCTCTGGTGGCAGAGGGAGAGCAGGATGGTGGTAATAGGGCTTGATCGGTTATTATTAGAATCCTTGAAAGGGAGAATGGGAAACAAGATGATAGAAGGCAAGCTATGAGGGGGAGCAGACGGGCTGCATTATATTTGGGCTGGAAGCCGTGGGCAAAGAGACGAACTGCGCGGTAGGCGTGGATGGTGGGCGTGGCACCAGACCAGGCACCAGGGGGACCCTTTTTTTCGCTTCTCCCCTTCCTCCACTTTCTCCTTCTGACTTGTACCACAGTAGGACGATTTGTATGAATGCCACAGGTAGGTACTGCGTACATTTGTGATGTATCTTTACGGCGCGCGCGCTCCTATCTGTCAACTTGGACCCAAATCGGCGGACGGGGGGGCACGAAACATGCGATTTGGCGTCAAAAGAGGCAGAAAACGGACGAGGGCGGACATGGGGAGATTGAGTGTGACTCGCTGCGCAGAGGGAACCACCCACTAACAAGGCCCGGCGAGTTCCCTTCACACCCCTCCCTGGTGGGACGAGCAGGCAACGCAGGCTGGCAGCACCTTCAACCCTTCAACTCCCCCCCACTGCCCAAGAGGATAGCCGCCACAGTCAAGATTCACCAATGAAGAGCTCAGAAGAGTGAGATTGATGGCTTTTAGCCAATGGATGCTGAGGCAAAGTAAGCAGACGGGAGAATCTGGTGCAATCTGACGGGAGGAAGGTGGGAGTGAAAACGTACGATTCGAGGCCTGTGGCTGTGCTAAATCATCATACGGACGGGTGGGCGTTGGTGGTCCGGAACTTGAAAGGGCGGACGGGTCCCTGTGGACGCACGAAGTACTCCGTACCTACACATGTATCTCGTAAGGTAGGCTGGGCTGACCATTTTTAGCCACGGCACATCATCTGGTTCGTCGGCCTGGCCCTTGAACTTTGAAAGGCCCCCCATCTAGATCCAGAAGAGCTTGCCAGCGGAAAGAAAGAAAGTGTGACTGGATATGGCTGGATGCCGTTGTTGATCCTTTTGGCGGGGGTTTAGTACTTAGTACTTAGTTCGACGTTGGGTACGAAGTACGGAGTATGCGTGGGATAATGATCTGTTTGTTAGCTGTTGATGGATATTGAAGAGCGTTGGTATCTCACCAGGGTGAGGTCTTGTCCACTTCCAAACTGCTCACTTGGGACATTGCCATTTCGGCCATCGCAAGATACACGACGACATCTTGCTTCAAGATGATAATCCGGCAAGACTGACGACAGAGAGAGGGGCAGATTCGTTTGACTCTTACCACGATACGTCACTGCTTGCGTGCTAGGGATGGGGAATGAGCAAGCAAGACTGACACCAGCCACAACAGGTACCTACGCACAACTACGCAGTATACCAGGATCTTCATGATTGGCCAGGGTTCACGACCAAGGCAGCTGCACCACGATCTACGCCTGCCACGGTCAATAACGATCCACCCGTGACCGAACCGACCCTCGCAAGGCAGAGGCAAGAGATCCCGAAGTGGTTGCCGGGACTTGGTCAGGTATCCGTTTACCGTACGGTACTACTCCGTATGGGCAGTACATAGGCCCTCAGCTGCTACCGTACTACATGCATACTTGCCCAGGTCCAAGAGAGGCAGGCAATGGCACTGTGGATCGGCCGCTTCGGGTCGGAGCTCCTCCCGAGTCTCTGCTCCGACTTCCTTTCCCGATGGGATGCCCAAAGGAAGCGAACATCTGCCAAGTTTGGGAACTCAGGATTGGCCTTTCGGCTTTCCCAGCCTAACGCCGCGCGAGAAGCTACGTGAAGGTTGCGCCAGATGAGCTCCAAGGCTGACTGGTTGTGGACGGTATGCCTACTTTGGAAGTAAGATACCAACAGTACTTTAGATTTCGTGAAGGGCAGAGAAACCCGCCCTGCCTTACAGGCTGGAGCTCCACGTTCCGAACCGTGGGGGCCCGAAGCTTCT